GAGTTCTAGCTTGACCCTCTTCTCTCTCGAGCGTGAGGGGAGTTGAAACTCGCTAAAGAACTTTAAAATAACAGAATGAACAAAGAACGGAAGTAAGAACTTGAATTAAAGGCAATACAAAAGGTAAAAGCGTGAAAAACGAAGAAATGAACAACTAGAACATGAACATAAACCCTAAAAACGTGTTCTACAACTAGAGAGCATCTAAAAGAAGATGAAATGAAGCTTGGAAGGGATGATTTGTTGAGGGATGAATGGCTTCCTTTTATAGCACCGTAGGTTGGTTGAAACTCTCCTCCATTTTAGGTGGAATAGGGTTGAGATTCACCAAACCATCTCACTTGGACTTGGACTCACGGTTTTGAACATGTGGGAAATGTCATCCTTGCCCTTCATTAATCAAAACGTGCGTTTTGACAAATTGCCCTAAAAAAATGCGCCAGGCGCAATTATGCAAAAAACATAATTTTGTTATTTTCTTCCAACTTTGACCGCATTTATCTCATATTTTTCCTAAAGTACCATAGTTTGACTTTTATTCAGAAATAATCTATGTATGTTCTACTTTAAGAATATGTGGTCCTTTTTGGCAAATAATAATGGGAAATGGGTCAAAAACGTGGTCAAACAGAGCTACCAACATATGTTTCTGTAGTAAAAAGTCAACCCTAACAGCAAGCTTCATTGATCCGAGGTGTGTGGAGTGAAGCGGCTAATCACTCAGGTGAGGCAGGACCGAGCCCTGATCATCGACTACCTGATCCGAAAGGCAACATGAATCCTGATGAGAGCCATCAACGTTTCGAAAAGAAGAGCCTGAATGAAGCAGCCGATCACTCGAGTAAGGCAAGACCGAGCCTTGATCATCGACTTAATCCAACCACCCTCGATAGGGGCGAACCGGCTTCGAACCTAAATGAAGCGACCGACCCCTCGGGTGAGGCAAGGCCGAGCCCTGGTCATCAACTTAATTCGACCACCCATGACAAGGCATAACCGGCTGAGAAGGTAGAATCTATCCCTCTGACAGTCGAAGATCGACGAGTCAACATTGGAACCAGGTTGGGGAATGAGGAAAGAGATAGCCTTATAAACTTCCTCAGAAGCAACACCGACGTGTTCGCTTTGTTGAGTGTGTTGCCCTAAACTCGTAGTTTGTATTTTGTGTAAAAACAAATGTATATTCAATAAATTTGTTGTTGAATTCATAGCATTGCATTGTCCAAAATCCAATAAACTAAACATCCGAGGTTATTTTAGTGTAACCGGGACAGTA